ACCCCCTATAGGCCTTCTTTTTGTGCCTGAGAATTAATGTCAAAAATTATCCTTTGACATCTTCCCCCGTCCCAAAAGCCTTGTAAGAAACATTTTTCTCCCTGTATTGTGGATGTTCTTTCACTACTATAACATTCCCATTATGCAGAAAAAAAAACACGTTTTGCTATAATTCCCCCCAAATAGCTACGAAAACTGAAGATATGCCCAATTGTAGCAATAAAAATAGAAAGTGACAAGTTTGTGGTGTGTTTTTTTTAAATGAAGGTAAACTGTAAAACAGAGATTCAGGAAAATATAACTTCAGTGAGTTACCTTGTTCTAGTGGGAAACTATCTATACCTCTCGTAATCCCAAAAAATGTAAAAATAGTTTGACTGATTTGAGGACTTTCAGAGACAGGAGTTTTCCGAGTTATGAATCTAAACACCACTGCTAAAACACAATTAAATTGTGTGTTTATTTTGCCTTCCGAGCTGTAAGTTTTCCTGAACAACCAAGATAGCTATGAAATTACCTTAAAATTAAACAAAAAAAAAGTCAAACAAAAAACCACAAAGAATTCTTCCCCTCTGACCCACAAAGCAAAGCAATCCTCTCTCCAAGATCACCACACAGTCACTGGCCTCTGAATGGCGCAGTCTGGAAGAACACAGTGCACCGAGGCATGTTTGGCTGTAATTTCATGTCTACCCAACAGTAAACCAAAACCCATCCATGGCTGTCAGCACATCTGACAGGAGTGATCTTGTCCCCACCAGAGCTGGATCAAGCAGAGCTGTGGGCTTGCTCCTGGGCTGCCAGGCTCCTCCAGCTCTGCGCAGCCAGAGCTCCAGGCTCTCCATGCTGCTGGTGGTCACTCGCAGCACTGACTTGATTTCCCCATTCTTCAGCCATGAAGTAACTGCGTGCATGTGTGTGTATATATCCATATACGCTTCTGTGTACATACATGTATATTTAAACACTTCCCCTCCAGAAAAGCCTAACTCTTAAGAAGCCAATTCTCCACTGAGGAGAATTGCTAATAGGAAAGTCAACCAAACAATAAATAATAACCTTGCTTTTTTCTGTGCTAGCTTTCTCCATGAAATACAGGCCTGCGATATTTTTTTTTTTTTTTACAGCAGAAAGACGTCTAGTCATTTTCTTGTTTCTCTTTCAATATTCTTCAGCTTTAGTTAATTTCACAGGCCAGGGAACAGAGATGATCCTATTCTTCCACCAAATCTGGCTCAATAGGATTCTTTCCACCCTATTTCTCAGATGCACCTTTGATTTTTCTAATGTTCCCCCTGATACAATAATCCTTCAGCTCTCTATGTTTTACATTGCCTCTTTTGAGTCCCTCGTTCTCCCAGCAGCAGAGCTGGAAGGCAAGGAACTGAGGATGCCTGTTCAGAGCCAGCCCCCTGCATGTTTCTTGACCGCATGGGCTAACAGAGGCCCTGTTGTGCTCTGCGCTGATAGAAATGCACCAACTGAGGGAGTGAAAAGGCAGAGGATAGATTCGTATTATACAATGTTAGTGCTATCAAAATACAGCTGGGCCTAAAGAGCCTATTCAGAAACTCTAGATCATGCTTAAACAGTAAATAACGTGTCCCGAGCACAGCTGCCTTGAAAATGCAGCTCAGTGAAGCAGTTAAGACTATTTTACAAAGTAGCACAGGAAGCTGAGTCTGTTCTCTTCGTTTCCTTACACACCAAAGGAAAAAAGAGAAGAGACTAAACTTTAAATACTGAAGCTGCATATGCTTCCTTAATAACTAGACAAATGCCCTAACAGTGTTTTGCCAAAAGTTGGAGAGATGTAATGTCTTTGCCCTCGATTATGCAAATTAGAGCTGTCTTTAAGACTTATTAGGTATAAAAATCACCCAGGCAGGCAAACCCAGCACAAGGATCTCTGCACCACTCCTACCTCAGAAAAGTACTTTATGGCCCCCACTGCTGTAACTCTATCACCCTTTCCCCCGAGAGCAGAGGTGATGAACTGTATGGACTCTGGCCAGAGAAGGGCCACCACAGGGAGAAAGATGCTGTTGTCTCTGCTTGACCCTGGTGTTTCAAAGCTCCACTGCAGAAAGCCAGATGTGAAGGTGCAACAGCTCAAAGCAGCAGCACTCAATTCTTACGGAGTTGTCCGCCCAGAAATAACAAGACAGAGACAACCATAACAGTGCCAGGCTCTCACAGGGAAATCATGAGAGCGCCCTGAACTAATTTTTCGCAAGTGACCAGGGGCAGCACACAGACATCTTTGTGGCTCAAAGGCAAAGAGGAATCTACTCCTGACCTACGTTTGGCCAACAAACTTCACCAAGGCAAGGGATAATCTCTGCCTATATATAGGATATAATCAAGAAATATGTCTTTGCAGAATTCTACAGAAACTTTATTCTCCTTTAACTTTGCTATGACTTGTTTCTTCCTCTGCACAGTTCATGATTTCTCTCATTAATCACTTAGCTCTATTATGAAATCTGAAAAAACATTTTTATGAAGTTGGGTAGGAAGACTAATGTTGCAGAACAACTACTGCATATTAAATTCAAAATGAGCAGTCTCCCAGAATCCACAAACAAAGAATCAATCCTTGGACTCCAACACATATGCCTAGAAAAAACAAGGCTAAGAACTTATATTGCTGAAAAAGAGCTCATACTACTGCAGCTGGCCAGCTTCTTCCTCGGTCTGCTCAAATCATCACTGTGGAGACATTGCTGTTGACCTTTTGGGGCAATACTTTTAAGTAGATGCCACAGCAAACACTTTAGCTTGTTTTGAAATCTCTGGTTCCTGTGACAAATTTCTAGCCTCAGGGTAATAGGAAAAAAGACAAGCTCACCAAAAAAAAAAAAGAAAGAGAAAGAAAAGAGGAGGCTGTGTGTAACATCTTACCTTATCTCCTGGCTGTGGTCTCATAAGAGAGACTTGATCATAGCCTCGTCGAACCAAAGCCCACAGTGCATCAAGTTTGCCCTGGAATAAAAAAACCAACAACTATGACATGATCAAGAAATTCAGGGAAAATAGCATGAAATTAAACTACAGATGAGTTGCTCCAGCCTTTCTGTATTAAACTGTCTGCACAAACATTGCTCCTGTGCCCTTGCCCTCTATATACTGCTTATCTAGACAGCTAGAAGACAGACCTCAATGGGGTAACGTGGATCTGATACACAATGGGCCAAATTCACCCTGCTCAAAACTCACTGAGAATGTCTGTAGTTCAGTGTGAACAGCTTCAATAAGAGGAACAATTAGACAGGTGTTATGTTAACAAAAGGCAGAAAAAAATACTGTACTGACAGGAGGCGAGGTAAGCTGGAGCATGGATGAATAGCCACAAGAGTTCCTACATAGGCAGGTTTTTAAACTCACAGGTACTTTCCAGTGAGTAAATTCAAGCACTATTAAGCTGATCTGTGAGCATGGTGAGGAGGGGGACCTCATCCCACAAAGCACAGGTTTGGGACATGGCCAGAGGTTTCTGGGATGACTGTGGCATGCTGCTCTCTCGGCCTGCGCTAGCCCTTCAGCTTCCTCCTCCGTAAGCAAAGATAACAGCTCTGCCCTGCCTAAAGAGTTGTGTGAGGATACATACATTAAAGACAGAGAGATACCAGATACTATAATGACACAGGAGAAATGAGGATGAAAAAGCATGGAGACACTGAACGACTTGCCCCAAAATCAAACACTCTATCTTGTGGCTGAACTAGAGGGAAGCAGAGCTGAATCCTAACCCAAGGCCTTGGCCGCAGTGCAGTCAAAGCAAGGACTGTGCACAGTCTGATCCTCTTTGTATGTTGCCTTGAGATGGTACAAAATAGGACACTCTGCTCCCCACAAAGAGCTGGGATATCTGCTGTTGCAATCCATGCTGTGCAAAAGTACCCAAAGAGAGGAGGTGTGAGTTGAAGGAGGAAAAATCTCTGCTCATGCCTCCAACACCCTCCACTCTCCCCCTAAAAATCTATTGCAACACAGGGCCAGGTGAAATGCATGTTCCAAGAAATGGGCAAAGTTGAGGTGTACTGGCCATTTTTCTAAATAGGATCTCTCAGCTCCACCACAAGAAAGGACATGCTATGGAAGCAGGATGCAGTAACATGCATGACATAAGAGACTTGGTAAAACTAAGGGCAGATGCATTACCTTGATTGGAGTGTACCATTTCCGCTGGGAAGGTGGTTTTCTCACGTGAGGTTTTTTTGGCTTGGGTTCCCATGGCTCATACTCCTGTTCTGGCAATTTAATAATAGCATTTTTGGGCTTCTCCAATTTTGCTCCTTCCTCTGTTGACCCCTTGTCTCCCCATCGCACCTGAAATCAGGAGAGCACATTGTCAGTAGGGATACTCCAGCAGTCCCCATCAGCAGGTGGTTTTCACAGAGATTAACCTAGTTCTCACCAGATGACCCAATACCACCAGATTTGAATCCAAATTTATGAAGGCACCAAACTCAGTGTAATCAGAAATACACATTTCAGAGTCAAACGTTCTCACTCAAAATCAGCTTGAACTACTAGCATGTGCACTTTCCAGTAACCTAAGGCAGCATGGGAATTCACAGCATCCAGGGCAGATTAACCCGTTTCCAAGTGAAGTCTGAAGCACTCTGCCCAGCTCTGCTAGGATACAGGTCCATACACTTCCCATTGCCTGACGCAAAAAGGAGGCAGCAGCACCAGCTTAAGGTGCACAGTCTTTATAGCCAGCCATAAGCAGATCCTGCTGTTCCATTCAAAAGTGAAAACAGGGTTAGTAGATAAGTACTTGAATGGCTTAAAAGCATCTTAAGAGTAGTTGGGCACCTGCTACTAAGAACAGCTCTTCTAAAGAAGACCTTGCACAGTCACAAGAGGGGACAGTAACTTTAACTTCATGTATTATACACTGCGTATTTCATCCTGAAATTCTGATTTTGTTTTCTGAGCCTCAAACAGAAATGTGATCCTGCAATCAAGGGCTACATATGATCCATAGGTTTACTCAGCATCACAGATAAAATTCTTAGGAGGAAAATAGTTCAGGATATTCAGATGCAATCCTTCAGCTGCAGACTTGCAAGGAAGCCATTGCTTTCATTCTGTTAGCCCTAGCTTGGTCCAGATTCTTGGCTAACTTATATTAACCCACTTCCTTCAACTATCCATTAACTCTAGTGGGAGTTTCTGATGTGACATCCCTAAAAAGCCATCATTAGGCTCTCAGCTGATACAAGTAAGTGACAATTCCCTGCATTATCCATGGTTAGGAATATTGAATTGATTTTCACTAACGTGGTTATTTACAGGAGTCAGCTGCTGATCACAGCATTATCCACTGACTCCCTGGCATGTATATGCCATAAGATAACACAAAGCAAATTTCTTTCACAGGTAACACCTCACTTTACAAACTAAGGCTGGCTTGTGCATGAATCCCAAGGCAGGATTTGATTTATTGGACAATTTCAACATAGATGTTGTTTTGTGCATTAGGAGTTAATGCTCAACTGAAAAAAAAAATAAGAAAGAGGAAAAAACAAAGAAAAATCACTAGTGTAAGTTTCCCAAACCAACTGCTTCCAGGCAGCCAGGCAAAGTGTAGATGGCACCTTCAAATACTCCAGACAAGTGTAACTCTGCCTGAGACAAGACAACTGGACACAATTGCACTCACAGAAGGGTTTGATTGAGTAAATTAAAAACTTCTTTTGGTGCTTATCCCATTTCTTAACTTGCAAATTTTCTCTGGCTCATAATACTAGATTAATTTAATTATTTATGTGAATGATGGCAGCTTGATGTCTGTTACTTAGACAGCAGGTGCAATCAAGTGGACAAGCCCTAATTAAATCTCAGTCTCTAGTCCATCTAGGTAGCTTTTTAAAAATCACATAAAAATATACTTCTACAGTTTATAATTAAATGTGCTGTTTTTTACAACACTAAAGAACAAGCCAAATACCTCCATCCTCTTAATCCCACCAACACCTCGACCTCCATAATAAGATGCATCCACGGTTGGCCACTTTTTCTTTGGCAATCCATCTTCATCATCTGATTCCTATGGGAAAGACAGGGAGATATTGATGCTGTTCTCACATAAATGGCACAAGCTATGGAAAACAAATTAACATCCTATGGTCCAATTCTTGGATATCTGGCTTTATGTGTTATTTGCTGACAAGAAACAAAAGTCTCTTGTCTCTGCAGCTGCAGTTTTAACTAGTGAAGCCAAAGAAGATTGCCTATTCCTCTCTCCAGACAGCTTCTATTTAGTTAAATAGGCACTGAGCTTCAACATCACAACTGACTTGTAAAGGAGGACAAAGTGGAGATGAATCATACATTATACTGGCTTACCACTATGGTATACAGAAAATGCAGCAATCAGTTAACCTAAACAAATCATTTATTAATTGCGCTTTTAGAACTTAATGTCACCTAAGAGGGGAAAAAAGCTACCACTGTTTTCTAATATGCGCATCGATCCTTTTCTTACGGCAGCTGTAAGCAGTTATTCTAGGCTGCTTGATTCTTTGTAGAGTCTGGGTCAAGCAGTACATTTTGGAACTAGGACTCAGACTCAAGCATCTCCAAATTGCCAGGAAGCTCAGATCCAAAGTTTTTGATCTGCAATTATAAAGACTGCAGATTATTCTTCTGGAACATGAGAGAGTGAATCAGGTTTTACTTCAGGTTCATTGTTCTGTTCTTACTTAACTAAAGGCTGGCAAGTGTATCTGGTTCAACAACCCTGGGAACACATCTCCAGCTCTATCATCTTGAGCTGATAGAAGTCACCAGGACTTCTCAGACTCCCTATCATTACATCGAGTCGAGGCAGCTGAAAGTCACACCTTGACACTCTCCAAGTACACACATAATTGAGGAAAGGGCCCAACCAGTATCCTACAATACCATCTTCATTCCTCATACTCTTTAATAAAGACAAATAACTACACCTCATGCTGATAGGCAGATATGCATATCATGGGCTGGTCATGCACAGAGCCTCTGTCAATTTTCATCAGTACAAGCTTGTCTCTAGAAACACTGCCTGGACTTAAATTTTACTAAAAAAAAATAAATCAAGTGAAATTCAAACACTAAAGAAGGATACAAATTATTGTTAGATTACTAGGTGATCTTTTCTCAAAGTTGCCCTACATTTTTCTACTGGAATGTAAAAGAAACTGAGAGTTCCAAACTCAATAAAAAGCTTTTAAAAAATATGCTTTGATTTTTTGTTTGTTCATATTTAACTCTTAAATTATGCCTTGGAGCAAGGTATTTCCATCAGTTATTCAGTGGCATCTGATCTTTCAGCTACAGTTCATGGGTCAGTTCCTCCAACAAATTCTTTAGTATGGCCAAGACTAGAGTTGACATTCCCATTAACTAGTAAAGAGGTTTGGGTTTTTTGTTTTGGTTTGGGATTTTTTGTTGTTGTTGCTTTGTTTTCATCTTAAGTCAGGGAAATAAATATACAAAGGTGGCACTGCGGTTTGGTGTTGGGTATTCTTGTTGGTTTGGGTGTTGTTTTGAAGTTGTTTTTTTTTTTAAAGATTATAACAAATATACAAGTTTTTATCCCATTTGGTGCCTCATGTAAAACAGTACCCAGTGAACTACATCAGCAGTTTTAATTAATTTATATTTGATTTCTTTATGAACTTGGGTACCGTATAAAATATCCTGCGTTTTCCATGTGATGTAATACAGATTTCAAGTCTTTGTGTCTAAAAAATCCTTATTGCTGGCAAGCCTGACAGTAGCAGGACACAGTTAACAATGATGGCTGACATAGAATTTATACAAAATATCCCCTACACTGAACAAATGGCAAAGTAACATCAACAGCTACCATATACATTTTGAAAAGTAATGGGAATCTAATACTTGTGGTTTAGAATAAGTTTTAGATAACCATATTCAGTTTAATAGCAGCAATACCAGACTATATCAGCTAAAGGGCAGGTCACCATACCTCAGGAGGCCAGTGCTAAGTAGCCACACAGGATAAAGACAAGGCCAAATAAAAGGACGGATAGCATCTGTAAGTGTGTTATTTCTGGAGGCTTACTTCAGCTCAAAGTCTCTTTGATTGCATTTAAAATCTCTGCCAATCAGAATAATTGCAAAGCATCTGGGAACTCTGCTGCAGGGGTGTGATGCTCTCTGAAACCTCCTTCAAACGCAGCACGGCTGCAATTGCATACTTCAGAACAACTCTAATCACCCTAAAACCAGCATGATTTTCAGTGCATATTCACACAGAATGTTAGGGATTCGAAGGGACCTCAAAGGATCATCTAGCCCAATCCCCCTGCCTGAGCAGGGCCACCTAGATCAGATCACACAAGAACGCGTCCAGGTGGGTTTTGAACATCTCCAGAGAAGGAGACTCCACAACCTCTCTGGGAAGCCTGTTCCAGTGTTCTGTTACCCTTACTGGGAAGAAGTTCTTCCTCATGTTTAAGCGGAACCTCCTGTGTTCCAGCTTATATCCATTTCCCCTTGTCCTATCATTGGATGCCAGTGAGAAGAGCCTGGCTCCATCCTCATGACAGTCACCCTTTACGTATTTATAAACATTAATGAGGTCCCCCCTCAGTCTCCTCTTCTCCAAGCTAAAGAGACCCAACTCTCTCAGCCTAATATTCTAAAGTTGAATTGTCACAGTGCTGCTGGCCAGGACAAGCAACAGGATCACACACACAGTAATGGTGGCCTCTGGCAACCTCAAAACAGCAGCTGTGGTTGCCTTCTGATATTCATGCCAAGTTACACCAAGTTAGCAGCAAACTGTAAGATTCTCTTGTGGGTTAGGCAAGTATTTTTCCATCATTTAACTGTCTATGCCTAGGAAAAAAATAAAGGCAGGCATGAGTTTTCTTTGGAGGTACTTTTATTTATTACTATTATTTTCATGAAATTAGTACAGTCAAACTAAGCTGAGGTCAGGGTCAGTGTGTTACTGTCCCAAAAAGAGCTAAATACAACCCTGCCTCAAACAGCTCCCAGCCTAAATGGAGAAAGGCTAAATGTCCTTCCAAAGGTCACTCTGCAGCAGAACCACAGCCAGGGCAGGCTCTTGTCTCCCTCTCCTATAGCAAAGCCACAAGAACGTGGTCTTCGCTGTCCTTTCTTCCTGCTGCCAGTCTTTGTTCCTTACTGCCAATCTGGGCTAAACTCCTGCTGAGAACAGTGGCAGTTTTACTGGAGGAGGGAGAGCTTTCAGCACAGCTTGAGAAGCAAAGATTTGCTTACACACCTGTTGGATGCACAGCAGAAGGAATAAAATACCATAGGAACTGTTGGTCTGTAGACTTCTGAGTTATGCAACTATATTCACTGTGGATGGAAATAATCTTGCTGTAAGTATATAAAGAGGGCAGAAGGCAGAAATAACTTTCCTGACCCAAGCGACTTCCTCTCTCAGCCTTCAAGGTGTCATTAAGACACCTACAGGGCTGACGTCCCTGGACAGCACAATACCTTACAATGGCTGCAGACAGTGCAACAGTTCAAAAATAGCACACTTACAGGTTCTGGAGGTGGTGGTGGTGGCGGCTCCTTGATTACCTGGAATATACAAACAATGGGAGAAATCTGAGTTAACGGTAAGGTTCATCCATCTCAATACTATGCTCTCTCTGCTTTCTTGCTCATATCACAAAAAGGTTGCTGGACCATTTGGCCACATTCAATCCCATCACTAGCCCTGCTGCTTTTCAGCAGGCATTAATTAAATGCAGACAAGAAGCTAAATCCATCACACTGAACTATTCAATTACCTATTACCTTTTTAAGTAACTCATAACACAGCTCCATATTCTGGTAGTTCTGACTTAATGTCATGCGACTACCAAGCCAGTGCAAAATATTTGCTCAGAATCTGCAACTCCTATGAATAAATAAAAAAAGAAAGCCTAATTCTTGTCTCTAAACCCTTATGCTTACGCGCATATTAGGCAGTCAACCAACCAGTTCCATTACACTTTTCTGCAGCAGGTTTCAAATCTTGTTCTAAGGAGGTCCTGATCTCTACAGAAACTTGGGCCATGTCCACAAGCTCACTTAAACTTCTTCAGTATCATCATCACACAGGCCTTGCAACATTCAAAAACCCAGACTTCAACAAGCACTTTAAGCAATTTGTTGAATCAGGGCCTTACAAACTTGGCAGCATTTTTCTTAAACAAAGTTAACCACTCACTCCAACACATGTTGTGCTTTTGCAGGTAACACATGAAACCAAGTCAAAAGAATAAAAACCTGTACTTACCACCGTGCAGCAAAGAGGCCAGAACCACCAAAGGAGAGCCAGAGCCAGCAGCAGAAAGAGAATCAGGAGAGCAATGAAAAGGATGGTCCCAGTCAGCTGCAAACAAGATGATCACTTCTGAGTTATCTGCATTTGTCAAACAAGGTGGGAGCCCTGAAGTTACACAATTAGACTGGGCAAAATGAGCCAGGTTTCCCTCACTACAAGGCCTCAGATAGATGGTGTAGTCAATCATGATTTTCATCAGGGTCATATCAGTATTCAGCGTGACAAATCTCTATTTGAAGTCATGATTCAGAAAAGCACCTCCTGTTTGTGGTGTGCATATGTATAATTTATATAAAAGTTTACGGTATGCATATAGCCCACTAGATTCAAGGGTGCTAAACTTCTATACCAACCATTCCCAAATCCATGCTAAGAGGTCCCTTAATACTGTCAGAGGGGTATTTGAAAGTACATGACCACAGACTCTGGGTGTAGAGTAACCATTCACCACTAGATATGCAGAGTATGCAAATGCCGATATTCAAAGAATGGCAATTTTGGAGCTAAGAGCTTATGGGTAACTGTTTGCACACCAACATCACAGAACAGAACACAACTTCCTTGCTGAGCCTCATCAGCTCCCAAGCCTGCCTGAATTGCCTTGAGTCAAAACTGCACACACAAACCCAGCCCAAGTGCCTATGCAAACTAGTCCTTAACGCCACTGGTTATTGGTAATCCTCCTGGAGCTGGTTTGACTGTTTTTAATTACATGCTGTAATCATGATCTTAGTTCCTGATTCTTATATTCCATCTGTTTGTCTACAGAGAATGGTGGGACTCCAGGGACAGGTAGCTAACGGTCTACATTCAAAATAGAAGTTGAATTTTATTCAAAAGTACTAGAATAAAAAAAAAAAAATCAAGTGTTAACACTTGAAATTAGCTTTTCAAAGCAGCCAGGCAACCAAAAAGAATCACAGCTCTGATTTTCCTATGTAATTCTTGAGGGACTCTTTGCACTCAGAGCATTTCACATCAGTGTTCAGAAGATGTATTAACTCTGTGTACTGCTGTGACGACTACAGGAATGCAGGTCTTCATATGCTGCTTGGCCCCTGTAGAACATACGGAGCATGTGACCTTTTGGGAATTAAACATTTGTTACAGATGGGTGGTGGCATGCTAGGACATGCCACTTCCTTTGACTGCATTGGACTCCAGGATGAGTTAAAATTAGCTCTGGTGCTCCTGCCATTTCTTTTATACTGGGAAAAGAAACCTCCTCAACCTCCTCAGATGAGGCCCTGAGCAACCTGATCTAGTTGGAGATATCCCTGTTCCTTGCAGGGGGGTTGGACTAGATGACCTTTGAAGGTCCCTTCCAGCCCTAACGATTCTATGATTCTATGATTTTCTGAGTTTGAGAAGAGGTTTGATTCATCAGCAGTAGGGGTACCAGAGAACAGGTAAAATCTGGCAGCAAATTGCAGAGTAGCTTGGGGCTAGGGGGATGTGAAAAGAGCTTAAAGAAAGATCTGTGAATCAGGCTGAGGGAATAGGACCTGACTAGAGAAGAAGCTGTAAGAGGTTTTCAAAGAAGGACAGGTGAAGGAAAAATGGAAAAAAAGCCAGTTCCAAAGAAGACTTATGGAGGATAAAGTCCATGAGATTCATCTTACTTAATCTGAAAATACTTGTTGAATTCCTATGACACCAGAAACTGAGGCTTAGCCCCTTCTTACAATAGGAGTTCCCTTCACTCTTCCAACTGGGTTTGTTTTCCCTTCAGACAATGAAACAGCTGAGAATGGAAAAGAAAATACCAACTGACATCACATGTGGCTGACTCAGGTGGTACCTAGTTCTTTCTCAGACCAAAACCAATAGCTATCAGGACTGACATATTGAAGACGGGACTAGCCAAACCACAGCTCCTACTCCATGATTTTAGGCAGGTAGCTCAATATTCCATATCTGTGTCACAGCATCACCATCCCTCCACTGGTGTGTGGCTTCTCCGTTTAGATACAACTGACCTGTTTTGGGATACAGTATTTAGCTCACTTCCTTCATTTGGTCAGGTGAAAGCCAAGGTGGAATGCTGCAATATGTGCCAAATGCCCTGCTTAAAGGGCAGGAGACACACTTCCCAGCTGCAGTTCAGTGCTGCAGCCCCCTCTTCTCTGGCCCTCCAATGGCCTCATGTAGCACTAACATATCTGGAAAGCAGACACTTGAGAGGCATGAAATCCCAGTGAAGTCAGTTTGTTGCGAAAAGGATGAATAAAAGTCAAGCATAACTTTAAGAGGTATTGCTGCACACCTTAAAAATAAATCCAAGCACAGTAGCAATCCAGTGCATGAGCCACAGATGCACATACCACTGCTACTGTCACTCCGAACACACATTACCTCCTTGTTTTGTAGCCTTTGTTCCCAGGCATTGCTTTTCCCATGCTAAGGGCTCATATAAATTGCAGAGACATTTGCCAGCAGCAGCTCAGGAGCTGTGGGCAGCAACAAGCTAAAGAGTTGTCTTTTAATGATTAAACATACAAAGCATCGTAGTGAAGCTGGACTTTGAAAAGGGAATAGCAGCCTTCACGAAGCTGAACAGAAATAAGCACAGGGATCACACAGAGGCTTTAGGAGTAAAGTGAAGAGAAGATACTTACTGTACAGAAAGGACAGAAGGGCCAGCTGGGGAGGAGAGCTGAGCAGGCCAGCTGACTGCCACCCAGAGGAAAGGAAACAGGAGAGGAAAGGAAATGGAGGGAGTCTCTAGAATGACAAGAGTGAAATGCATGAAATTAAGACAAAGTTGGAAACTGAACTGCTAACCTCCCTGCTTACAGGATGTAACTGGAGTGAGACAGTCTTTTTTTGTACCAGCTGAAAATCAGGGTCCCTGTTTCCTTCACATTCAATCTGCAAGAGATTGACAGGACTGGAGATTGCATTCCTTTCTTTATCCTAAGGCTACTGAGACGAAAGCTTCCTCCGTCCGTGCTCTGGCCTGTAGAAACCCCAGCTAGGGGTAAGACTTCAGTCTTGATAAGAAATGAATCACATATAGGTAACTAAATGCATCAGTTAACACGTTTCACTGTAGACTCAAAAGATTCTATTGTACCTGAGGTAGAGAAGGGAATAAAATGTGAAAATACTCATCTTCAGTGTAGAAAATTTAGAGGAAAGTTTTGGAAAATTAAAAATAATCAGGTGAAGCAGCAAATACACCTCTGCTAAATTCTGCATCCCTGCATCCCAGACTGTTCCAGCAATCCGGTGTGAGATTTCACAGCTTCACTGCTGAAAACATCAGAAAATGGTATTTGCAAGTTCTAGTCACTGCCTCTGTCTTCCTTCCTGCCCTTCTGTTCTGCAGCTGTCAAAAAGGCCAACAATGATTACAAACCGATATGACAGCATTTGGCATAGGCTATAAGAGTCCTTTAGACACTAACAAAAATAAAGCTCAACTTTGATACAAAGTGTTTGCTATCAGTTGCTTCAGCAAACTTTGTCTCATCCACAAGCACAAGGCCAAATCTTTAGCTACTGTACTTGCTTAGTACAGTACATCAGCTATAGGCTTTGCCTATTTTTACTTCAAGGCAAGAAAGACAAATGTTTATCTACTAATCATCATCTTAATTTTGATTGACTGATTCTAAAAATCAGATTTTGCTAGAGGATCACTTCTAGTTGTTGGTCCCTGATGCTCCACCAGAGGATAGGTGGTCTTTTTGAGCAGGAAATGCTCACATCACAGTCATCACTGTCCTGCAGCAGTACATTCTCCCTCAGCTGGGCTGAGCAGCAGCATGTTATCAAGAAGGTCGTCCCAGGATCTGAAGCTGCTCCCTTTCTGGTCATCCTTATGACACCAAGAGAAAAAGTAACCAGCTCCCATCACTAAAACTGTAAAAACACCTTACCGAATCCTGAACAAAAAGGCAAATTGTGGGAGTCTAAGAACAAATGCTGTAAGCTCCAATCAAAAAAAATAACCAAGCAAATTTAGAGGACCTTCCACACTGTGGCCCTTCCAGATCCAAGTCCTAGCAGTTGCACCTTTCACCTCAGATCCCATAAAGGATCTGAAAGCTCAACAGGGTGTTGCTTGCTGACGCTCCTTCCCTCATTTTCCCAGATTCCCTTCCAGTCAGATCCTAGCTCTAAGGATCTCTCTTTCCTGGGATAGGAATGGGTAGGGTGCCTTTTAGTTGTAATTTTTTATTCAGTAAATCTATCATGATCTATCCATCATCAGTAACAATTCAATCTTAACTAGTGCTGGTAATTTTTCAAAGAAATGCTGGGATTCAGTCAATAAGTGTGCTGCAGAAGCTATAGAGAGCTCATGCTCACTCAAGGAGGCTTTGCCTGAAGAGCCATCATCTCTTTCCAAGATCTCATGGTTTCTCTGTCAAGCCCCATTGCAATTACTTACACACTGTGTGCTGGTGATGCTGACAGAGCTGGAGATGAACGTTAGCCCGTTGTTCATGCTGACTTGTAGGAAAACCACCCTAAAGCACAAAACAGATACACTTATTTTTAGTGTCATCTTTATACCCATTGTTTCCTTTATTCTGGCTGTGTTTTAGCCATTGGCTCATGAACACGCATGGATAACATGTCCTGCTGAGTCAAGACATTTTCATGGCTTCAGGTGCTTACCTGCATTTATCTCTCTGCTTGCCCAGGAGCTACCTTTATGTTGGCTTAATTGAGTTGGGGCATATGCTTTTTATTGAAAAACTCCATCCCACCTGAGGCAAAGGGCACTAGGACAGTAAGTCATAACAGAGTCTCAGACATTCACAATATTACCCTAGATAGCACAAGAAAATTTAAGGCTTTTTTTTTAAACTCCTTCTGCAGCCTAAAGAGCCAGAATGTGTTTTCTTCTATATCCAAGAAAATCCAGAATACTTGTACTGAGGTCAAGGTGTAAGAATACTGAAGTGACAGTGAAATTAAAGAAGAATCTGGCCCTAGCCATTCTCAAATATCAAAGGAAGGATCAGAGGGGGAAAAAACACAACCACAAAAAACAACAAACCACAAAGCAACAAACAAACAAAAAACCCACAAAAAAAACACCAAACAGCTTTCCTTCACCCATAAACAGGAAAGGGGAGGGAGGCATTTCCCCTCATCCCCAGTACAGTATTTAAGCACCCACAAGGTCACCCAAGAAGGTAGGGCCTCATGCCACGTCCCCCAGGAGTCCGCAGGATTACAACAGCTGAAAAATACCCACACTAGCCAGAGCAGGGCAAAACACAGGAAGCAACATCTACAACAGCAGTAAGCGAATTCAAATCAAGCATCTCTCTTCAATCAAAATGAAAAGTTGTCTAGAATTCAATTACCATTTGGACTGAAAAAACAAGATGTAGGAACAGAGGAAAAAATCACCATTCTATGATATGGGACCATGGTCCAACAAGGCCTTTGGTTAAGCCATGCTAAAGACCCAACACTGAATAGAATGGCTCATACTAGGAGAGGATTTGGCACAAAGGGGATGGAGGTAATCCTGCCACACACACAAATTTATTAGCTTGGCACTTTGGGCAAAATTTTGAGCTCTTAGCTCAGTAATGACACCTTCATCTAGAAGTCCTCTCTTTCTTGACACGTGCTGAAAAGCAATACTTACTGTCCAGCATCTTCTATCACTGGGGCAGGACAAAGTAAGTAAGTATCGTGAACAAGGGTCGGCTTTTCATCTGGAAAGAAGTAAATATAACTGTCAGGGATGAAAAAAAGAGATTGTCCCAAGCAGGCCACGCCCTAGAGAAGTGTTGACACCAATGAGAGCCACAGACAAATTCAATACATAGGCAAGTACCGGTATTCTCAAATGGCACTGATTAGAAAGCCAAGTACTAGGAAGACCATTCTTGTTGATGTCAATACAATGTTATCAGGCTGAAGATACTACAGCTAAGAAATGGAAATACATCTCTGTTCCTGACAGCAGCGATCAGCCATTTGGAAACCAGCTTTGAGCAATATTCATCTTGCCTATCTCACAAGTGCACACAAACTCTGCTCATACTGAATACTCTGATCCCACAAGTTACTCAAGGTGTCAAAAGCATAGGGTTCAATTTTCACCTACCCACTTCCAAACTTACACACAGGAGAAGCCAAGGCTGCACTGTTTGAGCCCAGGGAAGAGAAAGAACAGAGATGGGGTAGAGCTGAAGTGGACAGACACTGGAGCAAAAAGAAACCCATAGTTGGTCAGATATGACAGACAGGGGCCATGACCAATGTTTCTGTGAGGACGTGTCCTGCACTAGCTGCTGCTGTTCCTGTCCCCAACCTCCCCTCTGTGGCAGCATCATCCAGAAACAGTCTATGTTTACAAGGGTTTGGTGCAGGCAGAGTCAAAAGCAAGGCCACAGGTGTTTTCCTGCCTCTCTGAACTCTGCTGCTCCAAGAGTCGGCAGTGCTAATTCTGTTGCTTTCAAAAGCCACATCCCATGAACACCAAGAGGAAGCCCAGCAGTAATCCTGCAATGCCACTCCACTAAAAGTAAGTTGAGGCACAAGAGCAGACAAATCACTGCTGTGACTGCACCTTAGCTTCAAATGGCACAATAAAGCAGCTAAGCTGCCAGTCCAGAGAAAGACTGATCCACAAAAGTCTGACCCAAGTGAATCAGGGCCTGGTAAAAGCTGTCAGTTTATTTAAACCTTAAAGGCTTGATTACTTTCTCTACCTAAAAAACACATTAACTTGAGCAACAGAAGATATGAGAGTTGTTCCTTCATGCTTCAATCAAGTACACTTGAAGACAAAGCTCATTTCCCTGCTTTGGCAGAGATGAAGCCATGGAAATGATGATATGTTTTAGGGCCAGCCTGAGGGCAAAAGTCAGCCAGCATAGATCAGTATCTCATCACAACATTTGTTGCAGACCTAATCCAAGGACAACACAACATGGAGGAGATGTAAGGAATTTGGGTAATTCTGCTTCTGTGCACTTCCAGACCCAGGTCAGCACTCACCAGTCAAGTTGCCAGTGCATTAGGGACAAGGAAGAAAAAAACTAAAGTCAGTCTACCTGGTAAACCACAAGAAACAAATCCCTGGCAAAGGGCATCTGTAAGCGGAATGAGAGAGAAACCACCAGAGTTTATTTAATGTAGCCTCCACGTAGGCAACTCGGATAGGAAATGAAGGCGCGATTCATGTGCTCCCTCTTGTAAGTGAATTGACTGCTGGGGAAGGCAGTCTGACCACAAAAGGATATGAAAGCCTCTACTGTGCACAGTCAACAAGGGCAGCATATACAGAAAAGAAGCAAAGCTCCCCTCCCCACACCGTGCTTCTCGGGAATGAGAGGACTGCTGAGAAACTGGACACTCCATCTTTTTTGGCCATTCAGTCCTTTGCCTGGCTGCTGAGACAGCAAACAAAAGACCCTCTTTAGCACAGCGATGACAGGGAGTTTCCACGTTACACACTCCCTGCGATGAGACCAGCAACTGGTGTCAGAGAGGAACGGAGCAGGCCTAGGAAAGCCCTGCTTTGTGGGGAGCATCTCCTGAGTTGGTAAATAAATAGTCTGAAGACACCACAAGGATATCAAGATAGCGTTATTTTTTTTCACTAGTGAACAAAGGACTAGGGAGCAATTCTGTTTCTCCCTCTTAAAACCTGATACCCTCACTGGCTGTATGCCTCACCCACATGCACCATTACAATGATGCTGGAATTCATTGTGCAGCAGCACACCCCATGTAAGCCCTGGAGACACAATGCCCACAGGTCACAGCATTGACTAAAGATGTTTCAAGCTTCTGTTAGATGTGGATCCCTACTCAGCTACCCCTACATCCACTGCAAGGACCCCTCCAAATTGGACGAGAGGTGACCTGTATCACTTCTGTCACTCATGGGGTGACACAGCCACAGGGGGCACTGGAATCCATCAAATTGCAAACTTACTGATAGTAAGGCTGTCGTTGAGCTTGAAGCTGCAGAGTACCTGGTCGATATTTCTTGCGTGATAAAAGCCGTTGCCTCTTACCACAACTTGAAATGATTCTGTAAGTAAAAATACAGAAGAGTAATGAAAAATAGCTCAAACACAGCCCTTCCTTACAGAGTGATCTGAGTTACAACACAGCAGTGGCTATTCTCTTGTCCTACACCTGAAACAAAACATTCACACTGACACTCTCAGTATTCAGCAGCAATGGCCAGGAGTGCTATAGTGGCACTGGTGCTTCACAGAGCAACATTCATCTTACAGCTGCTCCTGCAAGCATCCTATCAACCCCCAAGGCCTTAATTAAAGGTGCCACAGTAATACTGTGCGGCTGACACAGCTGATGTCATGTCATGGTTCCTCCATAGCTTCCGGGCCAGACACCTTTGCTAACCCTAAGCACCAGCCCTTCCTCTTATCTCCACAGCAGATTGCACCTGGCTTTCAGCAGCAGCTCTGTTCAGAGAGATGCAGACAAACAGGACTCCCCTCATAACTCCCTCCCCAAGAATCAGTGAGAAAGGTTTGTATCTCGTATAAATCCTGGAAAAACACAATCTTTCTGTCCATACAAGAACTGAGTCTGTGCACAGCCCTGTTACCATCTGCTGTGCATGGGAATAACTAAAGATCCAGGTGCTGAAGTTTTCTTTGTGCTCTTCCCCCACACCCCTGCCCCAGTAGCAGAAACCACCAGTGGCACCAGAAGAGACCTGCCACATCAGACACTGTCTGATGGATAGAGCAAGTGTGTTCCTGAACCTGCCCTTCAGTTGCTCTCAACTTCTGTTGCTTCAGTCCTGATGGGGGAGGGTGGGGGGGGCCAACCTGTGATTTTTGTCATTACTGTGATAAGCAACTGTAGTTTGTTCATTCAAGCAGGAAAAACATTGTCTGTTTTTTCAGTCAATCTTTCAATGGTCTTTTTACTGATAGGGTAGTTTCACATCTGAGTAAAGTCAATCTAGGAAGGGTGCTGCCAGAAGCAAGATTTTGCAGTTGTACAAGCCCTCCGCTGTTGGCACCACTGATGATGTTGCAGTGCACTGAGCTTGTTCACATACCTGAACAATAACCCTCTGTTGCCAGAGAGATCAGTGAGGTAATCTGCCTGGCTGAGTATCTGCTGGGAACAGAAACACACAAGAGAAAGAAAGGGACAGAGACAAGCAGTAGTAGCATCAGGTGAGTTTATGTCTATCATGAAGCCTCCTCGAGTCATTGTACCCAGAACAGTTAGAAACAGGAAAGGCAATTTGAGAAAGAAGAACAGTTAGAAACAAGAAAGGCAATTTGAGAAAGAAGGTATTAAGAAGCCTGGTTTGGTTTCTTGCCTTCTCCACAGCAAGCTTTAAACATTATTTCTTAGTAACCTATACAGGTAACACTTCTCAGAGCTCTGATAACCACACAACACAACTATTTGCTGCTCTTCCTTCCCTTTTACCTTACACAGGTGGAGCCTGACACTGAGCCACACACGTCTTCCCGAATCGCCAAGCTAGGCACAAGGTACGTCAGGAGGGGAAGCGGAACGGGAAACTTCCCTCTAGGTCACAAAATGCGCTGTTGCTGCTACACCAACCAGAGATAACATCTTTAACACAGGCAGGTGGAGAGACATTACCAATTTGTTCTGTGCCAAACATTTTTGGAACTCCCTTTGATGCTACACACAAGAAGCCGAGACCCATAAAACATGACAAGGGAAAGCACAGAAGTTGCACTTTCACACATAAATCTCCTGCTTTAGCTGAATTCTCCACAGAGCTCATTTACACCAGCTGCTGAGCAGCATTTGAGACCAGCCCAATACCAGGGAGACACCAACACAACATAGGGTCAATTAGTCTTCAAGCTACACATATACAGAAAAATAAGAATAAACTGCATAGAAGTTCTCCACTAGCAGCAAGTAAAAACCATTAACGAGTCCACATGCATTACCACTTATACTTTGACCAACACACTAAAAATGAGAGGAAAACAATGTTGACAGTATTGGGGGGAGCCGTACCTAATTTTTAGTGATACAAGATCCAGCTTTTGATAACATTTCATATGATGCACTGCCATGTTATTTCTATGCTTGGAAGGAAGGACTTTTTATTGGATAACACTACATGAGGCCAAAAGGTGGCTGAAATGCATATTCAGCTCAGCCTGCCTGCTCTTCACTATCAAGTTACTATAAGACAAGCTAGCATGAGGATGTGGAGCGTTTTAACTTTTCCAAAAAAACAGCTTGTTCTTGCCCAAAACACATTCTCACTACATTGAAGTCTAACATAACTCTGGGTGAACCGGACAAGGGCATGGACAAGTTATGATCAAGCACTGGAAACCCACACTGTTTTTTCTCATGGTAATGTTCCCTTAGAGCAGGGCTCTGAACTGCTGCAGGCAGCAAGAAACACAGGAATCGGTGAAGATATTTTGGGAGGGGAAAAAGGAAACATCTACCAGAGTGCAAAATAAAGTGAAACACATGCTTTGGCACTTTGCTGAAGAAAGATGATCAAATTTGAGACCTCACTGAACACATCAAGAGCCAAAAGTCAGCATCAGAATTCAGCCTCTTTAAGGGACAGGTTGTACCTCCTGGCTCCCACTGTGGGTGAAGGGCACTTCTTTAAACAACTAAAAATGGACTGTGGGGCAGATTCAGCTGCTTCTTACTCCAGCAAGAATATGGAGTTACTCTAAGTCTGATTCATGCCTTGAGCCATTCCACATCTAACCCAGCTGATATGCTGAGAGTTATTCTTGATGAGCATCCCTTTTTTTGCCAGCAGAGCTGAGAGTCATGGCCAGCCCTGGGGGCAAATCGGCCTCTGCCCTCCCACCAGAACTACCTGCCTGGGACTACACATTGCCCCAGACTTGCTTGTAGTCAGCCCACTCCACAGTGACCTGAATATCCAGCTAAGACGATAGTTTCTTTTCGTCTCTCTACCTTATATTACAAAAGCAACTTGCTGAAAATTGCACTTACGTTTCTCCCCCACCCTCCAAACTACTGGTCTTAAAAGGCAGCAACCACAAAGGCTTAAATTGACAGCTGTTTCCATGGCTTTAAAAGATGCAGCAAGTCAGAGACTTTCAACACAAAACATCAAAGGTAAAAGCTATGTTGAGAAGTTTAGTTGTCAGGATGGTTTACCTCTCCTGCCCTTCTTTTCACCGTCACTGCCACTCTGCACAGTCAGTTGTGAACAACTGACTCAGTAGTACTGTCTCCACCAACACAAGCTGACAATATAGTCTCAATACCAGCCTTGCATGGAAACGTAATCAGCTGGTACTGGATTTGGTTGTTGCTGTTAAGAAGTCTGCCCCTTCGGATGCTCTGGAGCATTAACGTGTTCTGGATGATGGTCTGTTGAAATGGCTAATTCCATTTAATTTTGCGCCCTGGCTCTGGCTGCATCCTTTTCTTCCTTAGTTACTGTCAGATTGTAGATTGTAGCTTTTGACAAGACAGTGAAGGGAAAAAGGTCAGCACTGAAATAACCGGGCGGCGCTGGCAGCAAGATGGTAGGTTGAAGCTGGTGTGTGCTGGCTGCGCTGTCGGCTTCGCTTCTGTGACTCTGATGAGAAGCTGACGGCTTGCATCCACACCTGGTAGTTGATGTGGCCAGTAGGATGCCACGTCCAGCAAAGCCTTTCAATCACATCTGCGTACCGTAAGCATAATCAAAGCAATGATGCTGTCAAACAGGATATGAGGCACCTCCGATTCTGCACCGATAGCCTGTTTACAGGCTGCATGTCTTGGTCACTTTAAATCAGAGGCAATAGGAAGAACCCAACTACACGGCTCCGCATTGGGGACAGTGAATTTGCAGGGTCAAAAAGCATTAAGCATCAGATAGCTGTCACAACGTGATGAGATCAATTTGTAAATGGACTTGCCAGACAGCTTTGTCACAGAGAGCCAGAGTCCCAACTGGAATTGTCACCACACGGAAATAGTTTCATCTTCCTTTCGCTAAACCTCTGGCAAGTCAAAAATTAAGGCGGAATCACCAGTAATCACCAATGCAGTGGTAATTACGAGTTGCAAGAACAGTTAGAAGGGGTGGGCCAGTCTGCTCTAAGCCCTGATTATGATGGGCTTCCACTAAGCAACATAAATCCCTCATGATCTCATATCAGATTGTACAAATTAATAATAATGCTGAATAAAAGTCAAGCTGATTATGACCTCCTCACTCAAATAAGTTTAACACAAAAAACATGCTCAGAGCCACATTCCAAGGCTGTAAATAAGCAAGCTTCTTTGCTGGAGAGTGCGATAATATATTAAACTCTTACAAAAGGTCTACTGTTTTTCAACCAAACTTTTGAAATGCAAATTTCAATTACATATTTTTCTTAAAAAAAGAACCCAAACAAAATTCCTAACATAGAAAAAAGGAAGAGGAACACTGCATTTCTAGAAAATGATAAGTTCTAATTTTCAGCCAGTTCTAAATGTAGGTATATATATTTTTTACACAGGATACAATAGCTATATATCTTACCTATTCATTACTAGTAAACTGTATTAGTAATTAACTAAATTTAAAATTCATTAAAATTCTGAGATGACTTCATAAGTTTCAGTATTTTTTGCATTAAAGTCCATGGAAAAAAAATCATCTTGCATATAGAATAGAACTATGACTGTCTAGTGAACTGGATTCAGGATCTGGATTCAAACTACCATTAAAAAACCCACTTGTTTAATACCAGCAGATTCCCTCCAGGAGACAGTGGTGCACACAGCTATAAAGATGAAGTTCTGGCTATGTTGAAGCAAGTGGGATACTAAAGGATAATAAAGCAAAGCCAAGAGTAAACATTTGCAACCTCGTGCTGTAAAACCTTTTGCAGGAGTTCATTTCAGCTAAAGCTTGCAGGACTAGACTCGTATTAAAACCTCTTACAGGCCTGATTCTTGGTGCTAAAAGCCATTTAACTCAACAGTAACACACCATTCAGAGCTTCGGTTTTGGCTTCCTCCTATTTTCAAGCTCCCTGCTGTCATAAACACACCTTCAAGCATGCGAGATCCAAGTCTTCACGTCCTGGTGATTCGGCACCACACTTTGCCGTATGCCAGCCTCTGCTGGGCAGCTTGGTCAACAGAGACAGAACAAACCTCAGAATTTAAGTGAATCAAGCGCTGATATTTTGCTGAATCAGCAGCACTACACAGAAACTGGTTCTCCCTGATTTATATTGGTCTCATTTGAAAGTCATAGGGACAATGAAAAACTTTTACAGACGCAAGTAATGCAATAATTTTATTTTTATTTTATTTTTTAGGGAGGGTAAACTATTAAGTGTACTTGTGTATTTTTAGTCACATTTGTGATAAACTAGTTACCTAGCAAGCTTGACAAAAAGTGAAGTGGTTCAAACTCATGAATTAAACTGATTCCTTTTAAAAAAAGAAATTTTACTCTTTTTGCTGAAATATATCTATTTTTGAAAAGCAAATATTTTCTTGAAAATTTATTTTCTCGAAAATTTATTTTCTCAACTAGTTTAGAAAAATATTTTCAGATTTCCATTTGAAAAAAACGTTTTCAAATTCAGCTTTCCAGGATTCTTAATATTGTTCCAAACAATTACAAGAATACTACTGAATTCCCTCCTATTGGAACACACATTTTCATGTAGCTACATGCTGTTTTTGTTGATCAGGAAAGCTTGCAATAAGTTGCTGTACAAAAAACTGGCTGCTATACAATAAGCAAACAAAAAAAGAAAGAATTTATCACCATGAAATAGAGCTTTGAAATGTCAAAGCTTTAAAATTGTTTTTAATCAACTACACATGGAGATTTTTAAAAGCAAAATTATTCCTTTTTTAATTTTTTAAACAGACAAGATTTTATCACAAACATCTAGTCCACAATTATATATTTAGGCATTTCAAAATATACAGGGATATTTCATTTTAAATTGAAACACTCAGGGTAAAATCATATTGTGATTGACATGAGGAAATAGAGAGTGAAAAATTTCTCTTTTCTGTGATATTTATTACATTCTTCCTGAGCTTCCAATTTTCATCTGTTTTCAAGGTCGGCTTTCATGCATCGTTGCTATTTTATGTGCTCATTTTTACAGCGTATAAGGAAATGAACACACAACAGCAACATCAGATCTAAATAACCATGTGGTAAACTGTACCTTCCAGCAAACTTATGGTGTCACTATTACTCTGCTGCAATAGCCTCTTAAATAGACAAAACCACAGCAAGTGAGTTGCTAACTTAAACCAGAACAAATCCAAGTTAAATACACTAGACATGAAAGGCATGAATTTATCAACAGCTCCTCTGGAGATTCTTTACATATACCATATACACTAATGGCTCTTTCATTGCAAATAAGTAAAACATTAGTAATTTGGAAAACACATCAGGTATCTTGGCCTATGCAGTTACTTATATCTGGTTCAATAAACCAGGAATTTCTGTGAGCGTTTTGCAAAATCTTGTTCTATCTGCTGACAAGTCCTAGCAGATCCCAGGAACGCAGTCTTTCCAGACATCTGCAAGACATTACCTTCAGACCCTAAAACACCTCTGCCAGTCTGACTTCATATCATGTGTCTCCTTCTCGCAGATATTTTAAAAAGCAGTATTCCCAATTCCCTGAGTGCTTCCTCCAACAACTCTCCAAGCTGGTGTTCAGCTGCAGTAGCTACATGTTTATTGGTACAGTTTTTTTCTCAAGCTGAGAAGGGACACACAGGGCTTTAGCCATGGCCTGAGGGGACACTAACACATCCATGGGCTTCAGCTCTGATACCACATTAGGTAGTTACTGACATTTCATCATTGTCATTCATTTGCCTTATCACACTGTTCTTGTGGAAACTTACCTCCTGCACAAACACTCGATGGTTCAGCCGCTAGAATCTCAATGCAAGATTTCTTGAGAATCTAGAAGATTAGATAATGGCATTTTTGGTAATCACTCATTTTTATCTGTGCTTTATTAATACAAGAAAGGGTGCCCTTTTCTGGGTTTCAGAACACCCAACTTACTGAATCAATGGTTCCTCTCAGGGCATAAAAGCCTCCCGTAACTGGAAAAACATGATCGATGCTGTCAGCAATTGTTGACAGCTGCAAAGAAAGACAATCATAAATCATAAGGAAAACAAAATTGCAGTGAACAAAACTGGGCCCTTTCATACTTGCTAAAAGACATCATACTGACACAAAATGATTTATGCCTCAAGTAATTAAATAAATGCCTTCATCTGATGCTGTTACTTATGCAGTAGTATAACAGAAAAACAAAACAAGAAGAAAGCAAGCCAAGTTACCTGAGTTTCATTGAAATCTTTCACTCCAACACAATAAACAATAGCTCCAAAGCTTCTGGCTCTGTTGGCCTAAACAAAAAAATGTCATTAAATGCAAAGCCATATAATCAGTGAAGCCAACAGTAAACACCTACAGGTTTGACATAAGGTAGTTTGGGTAAAACGTGAAGGTGACTTACTTCTTGTTCTGCATAATAAAACTGAACGTCTTGCAATTCTCCATCCGTCAAAGCAATGATCACACTAGCAGTCCGAACTCCTACATGGAGGATAGTTAACAGATTGCATGAGTATGACAAGATTCAGCAACAAAAAGAAAGTTTGAAGTGAGGCATTCCTTTTTGCTGACAAATAAATACAAAACCATAAGGTCAGACTCTCAGCCTGATTTCTATGGACTTTATTGGAGATATAACAGCTGAAGGTCAGATGCATAATAGCATGTAATAAGCCAAAACCTGTGCACTTTCATACCACAAGCATCACTGAAGGAGGAGTACTGCTCTAACAATGCCCATGCACAAACTTCTCTGTTCTGCATAAATTATAACATCTACCAATATTACATTTACATCCTTCATGTAGAGAAGTAGCAAAATGGATCTGCAGAGAGGGAGAGGTTTCCTCTCTTCTCTTGACAAACTTGTCTCTACACAAACCTTGCCCAGAGATTGCAGTAAGCAATACCTCTGCAAAAGGAGCTTTCCTGCCATCCTACCTTCCCCTCCAGCAGACTTTCAAAGAGCAATCCCACTGAACACGGCATGAAATGTGCTTCTATAGGGGGTTCAGTCCTACACTTCTAAAGCAACAAGAGCTGTCAGTGAAGTTCATAGGAATTCTGAGCACGTGGAAACCTCAAGATCCAGTCCATTGGAGAAAGTGTTTTACAAGGCATTTCATACTCCACTTAAGCTTAAGTGAAAAGGTTGCATAGACTTTGAATAGTTATATACATGATGCAGTATAGAATACAATACTACCTAGAAAAATGCAACACAGTAACAAAATTAAACCAAATTAATGTGCCAACTATGGTTCAGTCAAGCATTCTGCATCCATAGTTCTTAAGCAAAGTAACTAATATGTACACGTTACTTTTAGGGACGTATTTGGTATTTTGTCAAAATAATCTGTTACAATTTCAAGTGTCTTTCCCCATATTGTCTGAAATTAAAGACTGATTAGTTCTGACAGGTTTCTTATGCCATGCAGTCCTTCCCATGTCATGTCAGACCGACATAAATCTTAAAAAAAGTGACCTGCAACTTGGGGGAAAAAAATATCTTGGATTCCTGTATCCCTCATTTTTTTTCCTGCCCAGTTTGTTTGAAAAAAGACTGAAAAATTAGAGATCTTAGTTTTCTTTTGAGCACTCGTTTCTTCCTTGATATTTCAGCTTATAAATCCAGTTCTTGTCCACTTCTTTTCTCTTCCTAATTAACTTACAGAATAGTTGGTTGGTTCTTAGCTATATGTTACAAAGAAGTAAAATAGTTTTCAGGTGGACTCTTCAGGACTCGATTTCGCTGGCAGAAGTGTCTGAGACGCCACACAGAGTTGCTGCTGAAGACTCTACACTCACAGCTTATTTTATTAAAAAGGCACTGACCTATTTTTCCATCTTCCAAAGAGACCATGAGCCCACAAATGAGAACAACCTCACACCAGCGTACAAACCAGGCAAGAAGTGTTCAGTTTAACTAATTAGGCTTTCTTTTGGCACAGACAAAATCCACAAAGATGTTTCCCTCTTGAAATTTTGTGAAAATTTACATTTTAGGAACTCAGAATCTAATCTAATCCCAAATCATTCATACTGACACAAAAATCTTATCTGACTGCATTCATACCTACCCTAATGAGAATGAGAGCTTGGGCACACAAGGCAGACAGGGCTGAGCACGTCAGGACAGAAGGGCGCAGGAAAATCTGGGTATTCCTGTCCCCCGGGTACAGGACAGGCAGTTCTAGCTGTAGTGCTTTGGTCTGTATTCTGCACTGGGTCAGATCTGTGATCATACTGGCCTCCTCTGGTCTTAATAAACCATGAATCATGCATTTATAAGTAAAGCTGTAGTCAAAATGGAATGTAATGATTGTGTAACACCAAAGCCTTCTCCAACACTTCTCTCAGCGGGTTTACTGCAGGTCATATAAAGAACTATCACCCTTGTCTTTTCAATGCAGATATATAACATGAGGGATATACAATGCCTACCTCCATAGGTTTCATGGTAAATCTGCTCATTTGCCTGCAACAAAGTGTAGAACATTGTTAGCTCTTAAGTACAGCAGCAGCAAGCAAAGCAAAGTTTATATGTATAAATCAAAGAAAGGAGGTACTGTGACGTGTACCCTTTTAAATCCTTCATGCATGAACGTGTCTCCTCCAGGCACTTCATACTGAAGAATGTCGAGCCCTCGTCTTATGGCTTCCCTGTGGATAGGAAAAAACAGGAAAAAATAATTTTATGAAAATTCTTTTGTTGAGATGTCCCTGTACCATAGCCAGATTATGCATCCTGTCAGTACATTGCACAGAGTGTGCACACACACCAGCTAAAACATTGGTAAACCCAAGATCTCTCAAAACCCACAATTTTTCAACCAAACACCCCTGGGAGCACAAAATCAGACATGATAAAATGTGTTAGCCCTAACATTGTAAGGGTGCAATTCTGTTCCTGCTCCCTCTTTCTGATACACTGTCAGGCAGGATAAGATTGAATTAAAGCAAATGCCAGATATTAAACTCTGACAAACTGCAGGCAGAATGAGGATTAAAAAAACCCGAACTTATGACCCGGTCACAAAAATGGGACAAATAAAAACTCTGTGTTCAATCAATCATCAGGACAGCTAGAATTGGGACTTTTCCATTATAGAGACAGAGGCCAAAACATAAGAGAACAGGATGGGAATGATGAGAATTTACTATCCTAGACCAGGAACCAATCGACCTTTCTGGGGCACAGACTGCTCCCTGTAAGAGATGGGCTTTGATACCATGACCCCTGTTACACAGCTTCTTGCTCCACAAACACATAACTACGAACCAAGAAGATCGCTCAGGGAAATTAATAATTTAATAGTTCACTGATCACTAAGAGACCCTGATCCTTAGCCAAGTTTTCATGTATTAATGGAACACAAATAAGGCCAAATATCAAAACAAATATTCAATAGACAAAATGTAGGAAGTCCAAACATCAGTCCCAGATGCTATAGGGCATCCTTTTTTAAAAAAAGGATAGTGACAGCCTCTCTAAGCTCCGTTTTGCAACTGGGCATTTCAGGCAGCGCAACCCCAATTGCAAAGGAAACAGGAGTCTACGTGGCATGAAGGTAAAATCAGGGGCTGGAATTGGGGATGTCCTTAGAGCAAAAAAGCACGTTTTTACCCTTCCAAAGTATAAAATGAGCTGAAAAGGCACACATGGTGATCCATATAGAGAAGAGGAGTTTAAGAGAAAGAACATTCTAACACCATGTTCAACATATTGCCACAGGGTTCCTGTCTATTTCCCACCTTGCAAAGGTTAAATCCACCTGGGAGAAGTAAGCAAGTTTGAGGTCTGTCACTAAGGTACAACATGGAGACCTGAGCCAAAATGCAGTGGAACCAGCAGAAACACACGGCCCCTGGCAGGGTTTCTGGCTTTGGATGAAGCCCTGAGGTACAAAAAGGAGGGGAGGTTGTTCTTTCAAGACTGCTCCACAGCTCTATTTATAGGGTGCACTATACTACTGAGGCCTTCTCACACAGACAGCAGCAGTACCAAAAGCAAGAGCTTTAAGCTGAAATGGAAGAAAATACTTAGAAACACTCCCAAGACAGCTATTTCCATGTGTGAAGCAAATTAAACCCAAAATTATTTGGGTTTTTTTGTTTTGTTTGACATGGTTGGGGTTGTTTGTTTGTTTGTTGCTTTTTTGTTGTTGTTATGTTCGTCTTTTGATTTAAAAAAGAGGATTTGGTTGAGAAGGTGGCAACAAGAATTTTGCTCCAGCCTCAGACCCTCTTCTTAAGAAGCCTATTGCTTGGCAGTGCCAACCACCTCTGACACAGGTGCTGTCTGAAGGCAGCCCAGGAGAGGGGTGCGATAGCCTGGTGAGGCAGTGCTCCAGCACTAAGTATGACCAGCTGCTGTCATGAAGTTCAGGGTTTCGGGCCACTTTAAAGGGCACTGTGGGCCTTTCATACAGTCTTTTGCTCATCAACTCAGGGTCTGTACACAAAAACTGTCCTTACTTGGGTAGTTGAGGACAGCAAGGATGTACATGAATCCTTGACTGGAAACACAGTTTATCCCTGAAATACTGCAAGAAAGAAAGGCAGCACTGGACTGTGGGATTACTGGACAGTAATGGGAGACCCAAAGGCTCTCTTCCAGTCGGAAGCAGTGGAAAAGATTTCAGTTGGTGCCACACCAAGGACCAAGACAGAGCTCTGAATTCTAGTTTTGGGGCCACTCGCTGCTTGAGAGGAAGGATGGAGGGTATTTCTGGAGGAAAGCTGTGGAGTACTTGCCTGTTTTCTGTTAGTTTCATGACTGTAGTGCCTCGCGAAGAAAAAACGATGAAGGACATCCGCAACATTGGACTGAAACAGAAGAAGCCAGATCCACATCACAGATACAGATTGCTTTGGCAGATTCTCATTTGCTAAGAAGCAGTCAATGAAAATTAAACTATATATATCAAATTAAAATATCATCTTAAGAAAACTTTACCTTATGAACTTCTCAGCTAGACTTTCCACAAAAGAGTAAATCTCTGTCCAATGATTTCTGACACTTCCAGACCTGCATACAAAACATAATTGATTACATTCATCTTATTTCACAGTTAAATTTCTTGTTCCACTCTGAATTTGAAGCCTGAGCCACTACAAATGTGGTTAGGGACACAACTTCCCCAAAGGTCTATGGAGACGAGGCAGCTAACTCTGTTGAGGCTTCCATAGCAGTTGTGTCAGAAGCCGTAGCAGGAACTATCCTGACAAAACCCACTGACTCAAAGAGAAGCAGAAAGAGGTCTGAAATGGTTTACCATCCAATTTCAAAACAAGTCCAGTAACTCTTCCATCTGCTTTTGTTCCTTTTATAACATAAAAATTTGAATATTTTCTTATAGTTTAGTTCATTTTATTTGACTTCACTAAATCATCTGCTAGCAGATTATTTACTTTCCTAGAGCACAGCTCTGCCCTTGCAGCCACACAGAACGTCTTGACTGATCTCCTATTCTCCCAGAATGCGTAGGAGAATGTTTCCATGAATTACTGTTTGTTTCAAAAGAGAAAGCTTTTGAAGTCATTCCGAAGGGAAAGGCAGTGCTTGTAGCTAATTCACTGGACTAGCATTCTGGACAGTCAATCCCTGGCTCCGTTACAAGTTTCTTGCGAAAACTTGGGCAACTTAGTTGCATGCACAAACTTACACGTCTGTGCTGCCGTTCCCAATATATAAAACTGCATTACTGGCTTTTTTCTGCCTAGTCTTACGTTCTCAGGGACCCCCACAGTCTGGTGGGACTCAGACCTCCAACAGAGCCTTGCACGCAGCAACTCTACAGTAAGTGATACGTGATTTCTACCATGTGGATCTATGCCATACACTTTAAAGCCTTTAAAAGGCTTAAGAAGTCAATGATTTTAAAAGTACTCCCTAGGACTGTGGTGTTTATGAGAACAGCTCATGCACTTTCCTTGCCAGGTAAACTCATGTATCAGGTCTCTTAGGTAAAAAGATAAATAAACAACAGCACATACAGAAGGATTGCAGGACCTTAGTTAAATTTCAGAAGTTTTTTAGTTCTTGTCTGTCTATTGTAAAGCAGCAGGTTTCCTCTAACTGCTGTCAGACATTCTTCTGTATAAATGGATATATAAAAGGGAAGAAAGTGATCCCATGTTAGAATTCTTAGTTCTACTATAGGCTTTCTTCCTACGCCAGTCACTTCTACCCCTGTACATGAGGTAGAGATCAGCGTACAGAAGCCCACATCATATTGCACTGCCTGCCCTGCAACAGTGCTGATGGAGTGGAGAAGAGCAAAGATAAAGAGACAAGGACTGAAAGGAGTCCTGAATAACATAAGCTAGAATAAGCTTGCTTTCATGCTGCTCTTCTGGAGAGCTGGTGATTGATTCACAGAACAAACTAGTCATCCAAGAGCCAAGAAGCTGCCAGGCACTGAGGGAGGGCAACAAAGCACCAGAAACTGCTTGAACAAGGATCTGGAGCCTCTGCAGTTTCCAATTTATATATGCTAGACAAAGGATGAGACATGATTATATATTTGCAAACAGCACCAATGAAAGGTGCTGGCACTGTTCACATCATCAAAAAAATAACCCCATGCAGATGCAAGGTATGTACTTTAAGCACTGCTTTTCCAGAAGGGATCTCAGGCAATCCAACACCTATAATTCTGAAAGTCCCAGACTAAATCTCTAAGCATGCTTAACTCAGACATATTTTCTTTTAATCTATGTGAGATGCATTTACAGCTCACAGTATGGTTTGTGGTTTGTTTTTTTTTTTTAATTCTTTTCCCCCTGGAGCTGATACTTTCAGTTTCATTCTGAGCTTGCCATCTCATTTAAATCCAAATCATACAATTTCCAATGAATTCACTTCCCTACATCATAGAATAGTGAGTTTCTTACTTGGAAAAGACTGACCTATTTTGGATGAGGTATCAAATTTCTACTGTCAGCTGCAGAGGCACTGATGCAATCCAAAAAAGAAAGTAGCAATGAGTTTTCTTTACAACAGCAACAAATCATCATTTCCAGTACCTTTTTAGGATGGTCGGAATTATTTTGGTTGAGTTTTTGGGAGGGTGGGTTTTTTTGTTTGGTGGGTTTTTTTTGGGGTGGGGGGGGTGGGGGGGGTTGGTGTTTGCTTGTTTTTAATGTACCCCTCAGGCGAAGAACAGCTTGGCAAAACAGCCTAGACACTGAAAATTTAAGAAAATCATAAGCCACTAATGGTGGAAAAACATCAAGACTTTTAAAGTGAAAACACACATATAAACTTAGTACTGTGCACTCCCATGTTCTCTGACTATAATGAAAACCCCTTCTCAGAAAGGGCAGAGCCAGTGAGACAAAGGGTAACTAGAATTGGCTATTATCGGCAATAAATTGATATATGCCCAACTCTGAAGAGCTAGGGAGGTCTCTATCATGGGCTAGTCCTCAGAGGAACCATGCTGTGCTCTCAGAGCTCCTGGCTCTACATCACTGAGCTACAATCCTGTTGAGCAGAGGAACTCAGCATGGCAGCAGGTCTCCTTCTCCTCCAGGAGGAATTCTCCACCCATGTGTTGCTTGTTGGCTGGGAAGTGTCAAGGCCAGACAAGCAAGAAAATTTTACTGTTTCAAAACCTCATATAAAGAACATCAATGAAGTGGTCAGCATTTAATCACTTTCCCACCACAGCCCTCAAAAGACCAGGTGTGTCACCTCACACTGCAAATGATGCCCAAGTGCCACTGATAGTTGTCATGTCAAATCTCTCATGAACACCAGTGAGGGTGGCCTAGCTTACAGAAGAACTTGATTTCCCACCCTTCCCACCTAAATTCACCTCTGAATACCCTCGTTTGTAAAGTCTATTTGCTGTTTCTTTTTATATATGTATGTGTTTTGGAGGCTTCTGGAGTTTGTCCGGTTGTTCTGATATAGTTTTATCTGTTGCCCCAGAAGCTTGAACCCACAAAACCAGCTACAGCAGTTTCAACAGCACATTAAACAAAAATGTGCAACAATAAAATGTTTACAAAACTATATACTGAGTTGCCAAATGCTGTCAAATATTACTCCCAACACTGACAAACAGAAGCTGCACAACACTACTGAAAATACTGAGGCGTTTCACTGCTTTTGAGATCTTATCACTGTAGAATCACTTTTGCTGGCAGCATAAACTAACTTGCTGTCCTTTGTGGCTGGATCAGACTAGGAGGTTTCTGCTTCGGTTTCCCACGGCAAGCGGGAGGCTCCAAACATCCTCTAAGCTACTTTCTGACCATAGCCAATGCTTGAAAGCCATACTCATTTTTAACTGCACGGTTACCATGCCTAGAGAAAGCACAAGGTCTTTCAGTGATGGTCTATACCACAGGTTATTCTTGGACATGCACTTGGCTTGATTTTTTACAGCTGTTTTGGTACTTTTGTTGTTTCTCTTAGAACCTTACAACAACTAAGATCAAACAACTCCTGAATCAGTTGTGCTAACAGGGGCCTCAGACAAAGCTGGCATGTTGTCTCGAACTGCCATGAGTAAATAACCACAAACAGATTCCTTGCCTGTTTGGCCATCAAATGAAACACTCCTGTAAGATTTCAGAGGAACTCTGAAGACTTTTAAATAATGAGGAAAGAATAAACGAAGCACAAAAAAAGAGCATCACTGTGCAGAAAAATCACTGTGTGTGAGGCACACGCTCATCCACCGTCAGCAGTAACTGAGGGAAGCCATGGGGAAACAATGCAGCCAAGGAACCCCACGTATCCTGCTGCGGAGATCTGTACCTGTGGATCCACCAAGCCAACGCTCTGGTTGTCTGCAAAGAAAGACAGTGTTACAGCCAGACCTATCTCATTGGCTCATGCCTTAGAGATTTCCTGCTTTTCAGGTCATGGGCTACCTAGTTCAACTCCTCACATCAACCAAAGCGGCCACCGTCAGCCAGCCGAGCCCTAGGTTCCCTTCCTGCACTCTCCCTGCTGAAGAAGCCCTGTCAGCCTGATGCTCTCTGCAAAGTACCAAGCCCCACACCTCTGTGGATAGTGACCCACAGCCTACAAGCAGTTTGCGTGCCCTTCAGAGTCAAGCAGGATGGGGAGGTTTCAGCCTGTGGAGGTTACCTAATTCTCATGACAAAGCAATAAACACTTGCTGTGGGTAGCCAGAGCATTGCAGAAAATATTTCAGTGCCTGTTGCTGCTGCTGGTTCCGCTGGAGTGAACCTGGAGCAGGTCCAGAGAAAGAGCAAAATTTCCCCAGGTTCATATCTACATAAATGGGATCAGAATCAGGCCCAAGTCAAGTGAAAAACTCACAGGAGCCATTTGTTGCAAGCATGCTCCCTGCTCCACGAGCTCTGTTCCCATTACACGAGACAAAGAGAAGATTCAGTAAACCACAACATAGGAAGGAATGTGCTCCCAGCCTCATCGGGACTCAGCTCAGAGAAGCAGCTGCTGCTGCAGCTCCTGCTTCTGCTGTTTTCCCAAATCTCACATTGCTATCGCTTGATGAGAGGGAAAAACAAGGAGGTCAGTGAGTATTTCTGGGGCTGGAAGGAAGTGATGTGATTGCAAGGCTTGATTCTGCTCCTGCTTACTTTAGAGTGACTCCTTTTAGCTTAGCGGAGCTCTCTGTCAGTACAGAAATGGTGAGTAGTTAGAGTCATATCTGCCTCAATCTGTAAGATTTCGCCACTGTTTGAGAAGACAACAAAGCACAAGACTGGCTGGAAATCTCTTCCAGGTGCAGTGGAAGCTGAAGCCTAGAGAAATCAAGTAGCACAAACCCAGCATGTGGATTGCCATTCTCAGGCCAGTTACTTTAATAGGCAAAAACCAGGAGGGTCAGTTGCAAGGTGTCTGTCTGAGGACAGGTGTGATTCAGTTACAGCTGAACTCGCTATCAGGAGTCTATACAGATCCATCTGGTGCAATATACATCAGACCTGCAGCTTGGCAGTGAGAGTTAATACCCCAGCACTACCCAAACAGTAAATATTTTTATTACCACATGTACACAGAGAGAAGGCAACAGGACT